TATAAACTACTCATTGCTATCTCTTATGGCTTGACATCCAGATGATAAATATTCCAACCATCTTCAGTTCCACCAACTAATAAATCATAATGATATAACGAATGCACGATACAATGAATATAGATGGTAGTAAATTCTTGACAAATTAACCTTGTATGCATTTAAAATAGTAAGTTTGCCAACCAAGATACATTCCCAGCAGAGCTGGGATCCTTGCTATGGCAAGAGAGCACGGGTCTTAGGAGAGTGATGGTTATAAGCTTTCATTCATGAGGGTGTAAACTTACAAAAGAAGTATGGTGGATTATATGCAACAAAAAAGAATAATTTGAAAGATGATATATATAAAATTAAATATAAAGGGAAAGGATTTTTAAATAAAAGTGCACATTTTATTCCAATTGGTTAAGGGTATTAGGATACTCGGGGGGTTTAATATCTTAGGGTTAGAGTAGGATGACCTCCCAAAATGTTGAAATTCCAGAGTTTTCTCAAATAAAACAAAACGTGGTAGCAAGCTAGATAGATTTATTTATGTATGTTTTAAAATGTTAAACCAGACATATAATAGAAATTCTATTTTTATTTAGTAAAGTGTGAATGTTAGAGGCATCATTATAGTTCACATAAAAGGAATTTAACTCAGTATGCAATTAAAATTATAATTTCTCTAAACTAATCTATTATTTTTTGGTAGTCTATGATTCTTTGGTTTTGTGAAAATTTAATTGCTTTTAAAGCATGACAGCAATCCTGTAGATGTATTTAGGGTTGTGCATTTTTAAATAAAGACAATAAAAACATCAAATTCAAATTTAATGACAATAAAAAATGATTTTACTTCCCCAACATGCATTATTATTTATTTACATTATTGTACATTTCTTTGGAGATGAATACTAGGAAATTTTAGATAAATTTAACTTTATATATAATAAAATTTTCTAATATTGTAAAATTAGAAAAGAAGAATTAATTATCTTGGGTATGTTATATCTCCCAGTGGAGCTGGGGTCTCTGCTAAGATTATGGATTCTGTTATAACTACTGAACTCTGTAATACACTATTATATGATATTTACATAATGTAAGATGGATGTTGTAGAAAATGCTAATCTTGAAGACTGAAATACTTAGTCTGAGAGTTCTAAGACCACATATATAGATTAATATATATAATCTAGCAGTGATAATGTTATTACACTCTATTAATTATAGTACCATAAAAAAATATAACAATATTATTATTTAAGTGCTAGATCTATGTTTATAAAATATATTAATATGTCTTATAATCTATGTTTGTTGATAATCATGTTCTCCTTTAGATAGTTGCTGTGTTTAATAATTTAATTTTAATTTTATGATTGAACAGAAATTTTCTAGATCTTAATAATCTTATAATTTTCTATAATATGTGGTCTGAGAGTTCTAAGCAATTTTCTGGCTCTTCCTCATTTTTTTTCTCTCTTTTGTGTTTGGTAGTATGCTCATCAAACGCATGTGTAGCACTGGTGCAACAAAAAAGAGGACACCATCTGCAAGATTTGTCAGCAGGTACATCATCTGTTGTCATGTTTGCTGATTTGCTGATTAAGAATCTTTTCTTTACTTATTATATGTTATCTCTCAATTCCATTCTCACATGGAGGACTTGGGCAGTTACTATTTGATCACTTTCAAATGACTGCCTAGATTAAAACACATGGTAAAAGGGTTGAAATGCTTTTATTCATTTTTTGTGACGGTTTTGCCCCATAAAGAGGCACTTGTACAGGAGGAGCTCATTGTTTGTGGATGCAAGGCCACCTGTGTCTTGCTGAATCCAGGAGCAAAGTTGACTGAAGAGCTCGAGTGATGTCTTCCTTCAAAGGCATCCCAATGGTTTGGAGTTGTATGGCATTGAGTCATGTAGAGCTGTGCATGGCCAGAATGCCAGTCTTTTGCATTTAAACAATTGATATCAAGAGAAAGAAATTATATCTTATAACAATTGATATAATATCATTTGAACTTGTATATAATCAAAATTTTTAACATTGTAGAATTAGAAAAGAAGATCTTGGGTATGCTATATCTCCCAGCGGAGCTGGGGTCTCTGCTAGTTTTAATATATTGAAAAATCAAAACAGTATTTTGCTAACTGCGCAGCATATGCTAAGCAAGTGCTAGTAATTTAACCACTTTGTATCATCATGAGCTTATGAGGTCTTTTGGAATGTAAGCCAAAGAAATGCTGTAACTTACAATGCATTGATTGGGGCCTATATTCAGAATGGCAATTACAATGGAGCTCTCAAAGTTTCCAATCTCATGGATCAAACTGGTGTCAAGCTCAATGATCTCAGCTACTAGCAATGATTGATGCTTGTGCCAGTATGGGGAATTTGCCACAAGCCAAGTCTCTTCTCTTCCAGATTTTGGGAGACACCAGCAAGCAAGAATACCAGAAACAAGCTTAGAAATGTGTTAATCTCTAGTGTGGAGACTTGAGTGCCTCCATACTAGTGTTCCAGGATCCATGGATGGAACCATGGTGATATCGTGTCCTTATCCTCAGAATGGAAGAAGCAAAGAGTCTTTAACGATGTTCTGGGAGATGAGGCTGAATGGATGGACACCATCACCTTTAGCACTCTTTTGAGTGCTTGTAGCCGTGCTGGATTCGTGGATGACGCTCACCCATTGCTAGCTTTGGCTGCGAGAGTTTGATCCTTTGGGCGTGGCAACAAACGAAAACTTTGGTGTCATTAGAGGATATATGCCATTGCAATGCCACAAATGACTTATTCTCAAGCACAATCTCTGCAACACGTAGTGTACGTCCCAGTTCAATCTGAACGAAAACTAATAAAACTAATAAAACAAGCGACTCAAGAGAAGTAGATGAAAAAAGAAGGAAGAGTAAGGAGCGAGGCCTCTTTCTATCAACTCAGAAATGTGCATAGAGATCAAGCTTGTTGCAGCAAATGATGCCCAGAACACAGCAATGTCCTCACGGCTCAACTTAGAGTTGGTGGAGTTGCCCCAGCATTTTGAACGATTAGCATCGATTAACCAACAGTAACGCCATCAGAAGCAAGACCTCGACATCCACTGATTTCATGGTGCTCTAGGAATACCAAGAACTGGACCTTCTTGTATTTGAAGATGAAGGATTCCCCAGCAGTTGATAATGAACCTTTCAAGTCTCCATGACAACCAGCACCATCGGCACTTTTCCCTAATCCCCCTTTCCCCTGATTAACTCCGTGTAGCAGCCAAAATACCACCTCCAAACCGATGGAATTACGTCATAGCATCGCAAGAAAACACAAATCGAATTGCCAACCTCCAAACCCATGGGATTACGTCATAGCATCGCAAGGGCGTAATACAGGTCTTTTCTGCTCGCATAACAGGTGTCCAGCAAATTCACGTTAGCATGAAAACACCCTATCCTATGTCGAACCGCCGAATCCATGCGTAAAACGTAAAACGAAGCAAAGATTAGAATCGCAGAGGAAAAGCCAGAGTCTTCTTGTAGTGACCGTGTCTGTCAGCAAATCAAGAGAGAGAGAGTGAAGAGTAGACAGCAAGTTAGAGCATCTTCATCGGTTGAGGACTATTCACATATCTAGAAAAAAACCTCTCTGACAGCTTCCTGCTCTTTGTAAAACTTCTGGATTTTCTCCTCGGACATGGGGACGTATTTAACTTTCGGACGCTTAAGCGGTGGAGCATTAAACTCCGTCACAGCGCTGTTGATAAATTCTGCAAGCGAGGAATACATTGGTAACTACTCGATCAAAAAGATCAAATAGATGTCTACGAACCTGACAGTGGATGCTGCGAATACCACTCCTGAGCGGGAGAAATGAAGTCAGCTCCCGTGCACTGGACCAACCTCCTGAGTTCCAAGCAATTTTTCCACACTGAAAGACAAGAAAGAAAAAAAAAGAAAAGAAAAATGAGAACCAGAAAGAAGGATCAATGAACTTAACTCTCATATTTTGCATCGCCTCGAGTGCTGCCCAGCTTGTTGTTGACGTTCTTCCATTTCAGTGCATCATCTAGAAACTCCTGCAAGTCCGAAACACTTTGCACTTTCATCTTGGTTCCAAACCGGGTAACGCACGCTTTTCCTCTCGAGTCGCTGCTCTTCTTCAGTAGGCTGTGTGCAATAATCACCCCTATCATCTCGCCGACACAGTTGACAACAGGACCTCCCAGCGAAAGCTTGTGGTCGATCTTCGCGCTCGGCAATACAATGCCCTCGAATGGACATACGAACGAATCAACCATCGGACACTCCACGAGTTGCGTGCTGTTGGGGCCGCTGAACATGAAAACTGAGCCAGAGGCAGGTCCAAATCGGGTAGCCATGCAAGTCTTGAAGCTTTGTTGCTCTTTAGCCTCCAAGTGCACCACAAACTCTTCGGCCTTGGCAATCTTACACTCGTAAAAGCAAGAATTATCCCCGCTGCCGCTCATCCGTGGGAAGCTGACGAAGATAGTGTTGTCATCACCATCGAAACCTTCCAGACATTGAGCCGCAGTCAAGCAGTAACCGTCGCAGCGAACCAGTGATACCATTCCAACTGGGCGACGTGCACTGCCATCGAACCTTGATCCATTCGGGACGATGTGAAGAGCTCCCACAAACGGGGCAACTGCACTGCCTAAATCGTCCTTCGCACGTATGTAGTGATGAACTCCAGACTCGTCGATGATGAGTTCCTGCCTCATCGCCTTGAACCGCTGATACACCAAGCGCGATCTGTATGGACGCACACTCCTGGATTCTGTGTAGGATAGCTTCTTGAAATCCTCATCTGTAATTGCCGCAGCCACGAACGTCTCCTCTAGTGTCGGTTTCCTCGAAGAGGAACTGGTCCAGATCGTATGTGCTGGCTTCCCGGTGATGACAAATGGAGTCTGATCTGTGAGACCATCGCCCGCGCCCGCTGAGTATGCCCGGATCTCGTCCACGTCTGAGACGGAGTTGCCGCTTTTGTCCATGGAGAGGGCAAAGCGACCCACGAGGAGCGTGTCGGGGTCGAAGCCCCAGTGCGCTGCAATCGAGCAGAGCATGAGATACCTCGAGTTATGGAGCCGGAAGAGTCGAGCCTCCTCGCCATTGCCTTTCACCCACACCGCCATTAATCCTTGGAAACCCTAGAAACACAATATAAACTCACTCGAAGCATACGTGGACCAATAACACTACAACACGTGGCCTGGGGTCTCGCCATTTGTAGAGAGGTATCACAGGCGACTTATGTAGGTGACTTATGCTATTGTAGGTGATTATACTGCGAGGTAGTTTTAAAAGCTTTTGCCATCAAACCTTAAACACACAAAATGTTTGTGAAGCACAAAAGCTTTGTCATTTTTAAACCATCTTTAAGAAGATGGCATGTCGCAAATGAAGCAGTTTCCTGCCATGAACAAGCTTTGAATTCGTCAGAAGCTCTCTCGTGATGAGAGTGGAGGAAGGTATGAAGACACACTCACAAGAATCACTCTAAAAAAACAAGTGTTTATCACCCGAAAGATGATCTTATGGTTAATCAAGGACAAGCTCCTAAGATCACTCCAAATTGAGCTTTTCTCGGCTCCACTTGTTTTCTATTAGAAAAATTCAAAACAAACGAATATTCGCGATCCCAAGAGTTTCAGTTTCTATGCAATGTTGCAATGACAAACGCGTAGAAGTTACAAGGTTTGATTTGATGCCTTTGCCTTCTCTTGCTCCATTCTCCGCTTGCACATGATCGCAGAGCGCACCGAGCCTTGAAGTTCGACGACCAGACGACAAACTATCAGCCATCCAAAAGCCGAGCCCACGCATCCTGTGGCAGCCGCCACCACGCACAGCACTCCAGCCGCCACCCCGGCAAAAGCATTCGTCTCCGACGAGCCCAGCTCCCAACTCTCCCACGCCGCAAAAGCCTTGAACAGTAAACCCATCGCCACCGGCACCAAGATCAAGCCGCGTCCCTCGAACAGCGTTGCAAAGTGTCTGGGAAAAAGGATGCCCGAGATCCATGCCGCCATGGCGAGAACCTGTACCGGACGCAGCCAGTCCGAGACTTCAAACAGCGTGAACATCGAATTCCTGTGGAGCTTGTACGTGACCGCCACAAAGGTGACTGTGGCAAGAACGCTCCACAAGCTCACCACTTCATTCCCAGTGCCAAGCCCCTCGCTGCTGCCAAGAGCCTTGACAACCAAGCTCTTGCCCAGCATCGCCACCGGGAGGAGCTCGGCAATGGTAACTCCTACTCCCCAGAACCGAAATTCGTTGGCAATCACGAGCAAACACGCGACGCAATTCGCAAAGGCAAGCTGGGCATAGAGCAGCAGCGCCTTGACAAGACCGAGATCACGTCCATAGCGACCGGCAGCAAGGGGCAGCACTGGGACGAGGAGCGACACGCCAAACATGACGAACTTTGTGACTTTGTCTTCGGGCTTGGGCACATCCCACCCGAGTCTCACCCTCACCCTGGCTTGACTAGCAGCCACCAAGCATATCACTCCCAGGTCTGCGAGAGTTCCTGGGCTGGATGCGAACACCTCGCGCACCCATGCCCAGCCAGCCGCCGGCGTCTTGGCCATGCCATAGAGAGGGATGCTGCCGAGCCCGATCCACAAGAGGGAGCTGGCGACTAGGACAGCGAACCTGTGAGGCAAGTCCCAGTAGCGCGGGGGCCTGCGCGTGAACGGGGCGATGACGCTCTTCCACCACGCCATTCCCCTAGTCTGTTTGACGAAACCCTTTCCCTCAGTCCTCGATATATAGGCGTGCGCAATAGCTGGGATTTCGCCACGTGTAGTTCGCTTGGAGGGTTAGATCTTTTCAAAAATTGCCTTTTATACCTAAGAATGTTCTCCTTTCTATGAACATATTCTCCTTTGGGAATATGCCGGTTGTAAGGCCTAAAATGTGCTAGTATTTTTTCTTTCGTTTTGTTGGGTCTTTGATCGATCAGTTCCTACTATTCTATACGTAAATCTTGGAAATCTTCTTCTTTCCTCTTCTTGTTTCTTTTTCTTCCTGGAACCATGCTTTAATCTCAAACTTAGATCGATCGATCGGTATATGCTTTCGCCTACTTTCTTCGTCCGTTTTTCTTCGTTGTTTCTCATCTTCCTCCCTGTGTGAGAACGTTTTCCTTCCAGGCAAAAACGCATTCGTTCTTCATCATATGTACCTGGCACTTCCCTTCTTTTTTCAGTTTTGTTCCTTCTTTCTTCCAGGTGAGGCCTTCAAAGATCTTGCTGGCAGTTCTTAGACTCAACTATGCCGGTGCATGGAGTGCTGAAGTCATCGCATACATTGGTGTTTCACCTTTCTGGGCTGGTAAAAGATCATCTTAAACAGAAATCTCAGCAAGGATGCATTTCTTCGCGGCCACCTCGATCTTTCCAGCAACCTTTGATCGCCAAGGATTTGCTGCGCAAGACCAAAGGAGTGTCTACTGGTAAGATGTTTCTCGGGACATTAAGCAGGCTCTGTGATTTCTAGAATAACGCTTCGCTTTGATCACGTCGTCGAATCCTCCCTTGGCTCAAAGAAGATGGCGAGGCACCAGAGGTCCGCTGGACAACCCAGTGCTGTCGCGAATGAAGCAGTTTTCTGCCCATGAACAAGCTCAAAAAGCTTGCACTTTTAAGGTGACGCTCTTCTCTGTTTTGCATTCCTTCAAGAATTTGTCATCCAGGTGATTGCCGAGAGTCTGTCTGAGGTTGCAACTCGGATTTAGACAGGATTTACAGGGAGGAAAGGCTCTCCATTCTTTCTTCTTTAGTTGGCCAGGTACGTATAGCTCTAGGAATGTTTTATCTTACGTAGCATATGCTTGTGCAGAGGTTACTGTGAAAAAGCAAAGAAAAAGCTTGTTTTTCTGAAAGGAAGGCCCTCGAAGATCCAGAGGAAAGCCGAGCTGATTTGATGGTTAGCCTTGGCTAATCTAAATCTGCTTGTTGTGGAGGGGGACGATCACGTACGACGAGTTAAAAGCCGGACTTGTAAACTTGGGATCCACTCTCACAGAACACGATGTCGGAAGTTTGCTTAGTGTATTTTTGTTTCGTTTTTCATTTTGTCCTTCAAGGCTGGCGCTGCTGAAATTGGCCTCAATCGATCACGGCGACCATGCATCTCAACAAAAGTCGGCTTTCCAGTGTCTCGGCAAGGATAACAGCGTAAAACTCTCATTTTTATTGTTCCAAGTTTTTTCATCGGTCAGGTACATCACTGTGGAAGAACTGGAGCTAGCTCTTGGCGATCTGAACACGCAGGACTTGAAAGAAACCATCAAAGAAGTGGCCACACACAATGTAAGTCACTCGCAGGATTGAGTGAAACTATTCACAGGACGGGAAGATGAATTTGTAGCCATGATGCGTGCGAGGAGCAAATCCACCAAGAACAGCTGCTGAGAAGAAAGAGTACCTCGCAGATAACAAAGAAGGAGAGGAAAGAGCAAACGTCTCTTCTATCATCGCTTTTACTTCCACCGGAAAGCGTGAAACGCTCCTTTGATGTGACGTTCTCGTACCATCTATCGAGTTCTTGTTGGTCACTTGGCATATAGCTTATTAGTCCGTTTCGTCTTTGAAGAATCGGGGTTTTGGGTGGGTTTCTTCGCGATCGCGATCATGGGGTATGTGGGCTCCGGGAAGCGCAAGAGCCCAGTTGAGCCAGACAACGATGAGGAAGAACCGGAAGAAGAAGAAGAAGAAGAAGATGAAAAAGAAGAACAAAGCAGTAAGTTTTTTCCTTTCTTGCATGGTTTTGATCGATGCATTTCTCGCTTGCTGGCTCTTGCGCTCCTTGTTTGCAGTATCGATCGACAACTTCATCGACGTTAGCGCCGTCAAGCGAATGAAGAGAGGGCAACAGGAAGGAAGTCCGGAAGAAGAACAAGAAGAGGAAGACGAAAGCGATGATGAAGAAAAAGAGGATGGAAGATCCAAGCCCAGGTTTTGGACGGTGAAATGCAAGGTAATGCTGGTTCCTTTTGTACTAGTGAGCTTCTTGTCTCGATTTTTTTTTCTTGTATGTGGTGTTCTTTTACTTCTCCTTTTAGCACGGGTTGGCGGAGGATGCCGCGGCCTCGATCTTTGCAAAGATAAATGACTCGGAAAGCACCGCTGTGCTCGTCAAGTGCGCCATTGCTCCTGATAAGTCGTGCGAAGGGATTGTTATCATCGAGGCCGAGTCCGAAGCACACATTCGAAAGGTAATTTTTTTTTTGTTTGAGATCAGTCTCTATACTTTCTTTTGTTCTTCCAGGCATGCCACGGCCTTAATTTGCTACTTCTCAAGAAGATAACTCCCGTCTCGGACGAAACCGTGCAAGAGATTCTCCGCAATGAGAATCGTGAAGTACTCGTTGGCGAGAGCTCTCGTAGCGCTTGCGAGTTTTCCGTGAAGGATTGGGTGCGAGTGAAGGGAGGGATTTACAATGGTGACATTGCTCAGGTGAAGAAAGAAAACGATACAAGTCAGCCACATTAAGGTTTCTTTCCAGGTCGTGGAAGTTCGAGACCATCTTAAAAAACTTCGTGTCAAGCTGGTGCCGAGGATCGACGTTTGCAAGGTAGGTTTGTTCATTGGTGTCGCAAAACCAGTGATCTTCTTGCTCTTGCAGTACAAAACGAAGGGTTTTCACCTCAAGAAGAACAAGCCGGGGCTTTTCACTCCGGAACATGCCCAGTAAGAGCTCTCAATCGCCACCATTTTCTCACACTTGTGTTTTTTCCGCAGGAAACTCGGTTTCCCTGTAAAGAGGGAGAAGGGAAGAACAGTCTGCAAATCTTCCAGGATGGAGTTCTGGGACGGCTATCTGATCACGCTTGTGCAGTCCAAATCCGTGACTGCCATCACGCCGACGAAGAGAGAGCTCGACTTCTTCATGGATCCGCACCAAATCCAGGAGCCTGACGAAGAGGAAGATTTGCGGCCGAAGAAGAAAGCCAGGAAGACTCAAAGCGCTGCGAAGGGAAAGGCGAAAGAGGATGCTGGGAAGTCGAAGGGAAAGGCAAAGGCGAGGAGCGACGCTGGAAAATCGAAGGCATATGTTCCCGAAGAACCGAGAATCCATGACTCCAGCCTTAAGAAGGATGAGAAAGTCCAGGTGATCGACGGCGAACTCCGAGGTACCATAGGAAGAGTAACCAAAGTTGATGGCGATGCGGTCTACGTCTTGGCGGATGATCGGGTATGTCTTTGTTTCACTCTTCTTCTGTTTTTTTCTGAAAGGTTTCTGCTAGCAGAAATTTGTACGAGCACACAAGAAGCAGCTCGAGAGAGTGTACGAGGTTGCGAACCACATCCGTGTAGCATCCGGGGAGCACGAAGGCCGGACGGGGATGATAGTGAAGCTTGAAAGCGATCACGTTGTGCTGCGCTGCGACTTGATCACGGAAAATGTGAGTTCTCTCCTCTTTTTCTCAAGTTTTTCTTCGAGCTGGATATGGATATGCAGATCGAAGTGCCACGGAAATGTCTTGGAGAAGTTCTCACGCCATCCGAGATATCCGCCGGACAGTTCAATGAAGGAGATCTCGTGCTTATAGAGTAAGGCTAGCTGATTTTGTTTTCGCAAAGTTTTATCGATTCTATTCCTTGCAGCCAATCCACTTTCGGGATCATTCTTAAGATCGAGGGGGCTGATAACTCAGTCGAGGTGATTTTCTGTTTTGTTCTTCCAACTTATCAAACTAAGCTCATCAGATCCTGAAAGGAGAGATCGAACAAGAAGTGGTGAACGTCAAGGCCAGGAACATCCAAAAGAAACTCGTGGATGAAAATGCTACAGCAAGAGACGCTACCTCGAAGATTGTTCGCCTGGACAGCATGGTCCGCGTACAGGAGGGTCCTCTCTCGGTAAAGTTCCACAAAGCCTTTTACTTTTCTCTTCTTTTTGCGTTTCCTGATTCGCGCGGGCTGTGGTTTTCTCAGGAAAGTCGAGGCACTGTGAAACACATCTACCAGGACTTCCTTTTCGTTCACAATGCAGACCACGCGGATAATCAAGGGAACTTCTGCGCTCATGCACGCTCTTGCGTGCTTGAAGAGGTATGAAATTTTCGTTTTATCTCCTTCGATGTTCCGGGTTCTTACAAAAACCAACAGGTGAAAGGTTTTCTCATGGCGAATTTCAAGACCGGTAATCAAACAGTCTTCTCTTCAACTGCAAAATCATCTCGTTTTTTTTTTCTTGCGTTCTTGTAGGTGCTCCTCCGAGGAAAACGCATGAGCTGATTGGAAAAGAGGTCAAAGTTACTCGAGGCAGCTACAAAGGCCTGAAAGGCCGAGTAGTACGCGCTTACAGAAACATCGTGCACGTCTTTCTTCGTGCATTGCTCAAAGAAGTCACAGGCAAGTCCATCAAAGTCCTGATTTCTCTGTTTGTAACATCTTTTTTCTTTCGGCAGTGGAAGCACAGATCATAGCTTCGTTGGACGGTACAGCACTGCAACAACCTCGAGGTGGTAGAAATCCCGGGGAAAATGGTGACAATGGCGGTGGCTGGAACGCTGACGATGGTGGCGGAGGCTGGAACACCGGCGGCGACGGTGGTGGTGGCGGCTGGAACACAGGCGGTGACAATGGTGGTGGCGGAGGCTGGAACGCCGGCGGCGACAACGGTGGTGGAGTTACCAGCAACAATGGTGGAGGGTGGAACACTGGCGACAATGGTGGCGGAGGCTGGAACACCGAAGACGGTGGTGGAAATGAAACTCGCGATCAAAACGCTACTCGGGGTGGTAGCACTGGAGAAGAAACTCCTGCTAACGCTGGTGGTGAAACAAACGAGCATGGAGGAGGAGCAAGCTCCGTTTTTGGCATCAATGGAGAAGAAGATGATCGAGTCCCTGCGAAAGGAAACGCGAGCACTGGCGGCTGTGGAGGAGGTGGCGCTGGAGAGGAGAATGGCGATGGCGGATCTTCTCCAAAGAAGCGGGATGGAGAGGAAAGCTCCAGTTTTGGCTGGGGAGGAGGAGGAACTACTGGAGAAATTCCTGGCGCCAGTGGCAGTGCTCGAGATCTTGGCTGGGGAGGAGGAGCAACGATCGCTGGAGGCGATGGTGCGGGCGTCAACAGTGGCGGCTGGTAGAGATGGAGATGGAGTTTTGAGAAAAAATTATATATCGGGTCTATGGTTTTATCGTTGGGAGTGATCTAGGGTTTTGGAGAACTAGGGCGGGCTTTCGCGCGTGGGGGGAGAGGGTGCGCAGCAGACGACGCAATGGATGACGATTGGGGTGAGTGATTCTGCTCGTGGCGCGATGAGATCGATCGCGTTTCTAGCTCTATCATCTTCTTCTTCGTCTTCCCTTCGCAGACGCCGAAGATTTCGTTCCGCCGCCGCCTATTGTCTCCAGGGAGCAGCCGAAATCCCAGTGGGACGACGAAGACAAGGAGGAGGAAGCTCAAGTGAAGGAATCATGGGAGGATGAGGAGGAAAAGCCGGTGAGTTTGTTCGTGTTCTCTCGATTCATCGTCCTTAAGGGGAATTCCTTTTGATCAGGCACCAGCTCCAAAGCCTCCCAAGGCCGAGAAAGCCGAGAAAGCCGAAAAAACCGACAAGAAAGGAAAGAAATCCGTGCCCGCCGCTCCACAAGAGCAAAAACCAGAAGAACAAGCGCCATCTGATCCTTTGGCCGAGAAGCTTAAACAACAAAGGTGCTCCTTTTCTTCTCTTCTCGCCTTGTTTTTTCTCGGTTGGATCTTTTCGAGGAAAAATGGATTTTACTTTTGCTGATTGTGGTTTCCCTGTAGACTTGTTGAAGAGGCTGATTATCAAGTGACGACAGAACTCTTCGGCAAGGAAAGCCGGGGCCGGCCTTTCGAAGGCTTCCTCCCAAAATCGGAAGCGGACTTTATAGAGTACGCGGATCTCGTTGCTCGCGAGCTAAAGAATTATGAGGTGCGTCCTTCGGTGTGAAATTCTCTCGTCTTCTCACGCGTTTGTCCTCTTTTCTCCCAGACGAGCTACCATTACATGACAATGCTCAAGACGCTGCTAAAGACCGCGACGGCGTCAATGAAGGCGGCCGACGTGAAGGAAGTTGCGTCGGCTGTGACGGTCATCGCCAACGAGAAGTTGAAAGCGGAGAAGGACTCGGCCGGGAAGAAGAAAGGAGGTAAGGAAAAGAAAGCCTTTTCTTTCAGAGTCTCTAGTTTCTAGTCTTTAGCGAGTCACGAGTTTTGCTAGCGGCGAATAACTTTGATCTTCTCCAGGAGCGAAGAAAAAGCAGCTCCATGTTGACAAAGCCGACGAGGACAATTACTCGACGGCGTATGACGACGTCGACGAGTTCGATTTCATGTGAATTTGGAGCGACGACGAACAAAAGACTGCGAAAAGTTTTCGAGGAAGCGGCGACGCCAATTTGCCAAATCGTTCCTTCGTCCCGTTCGTCCGTTCTCGTTCTCCATTCTCGGGAGCGTTTTTTTGTGAAAGATGATGAACAGCTTAAAAAACACAGAGTTCTCTTGCGTTATACGTACGTACGGTATTATGTACGGCATTGTGGTATTGTACGGAGAGCTTAATTTGGGCTAAAAGGCGAATTTTAAACGTGTGTTGGAAAAAGGGAGAGTGTTGGAGAAAGGCTGGACCAGTATGGAGAGGACGAGGAGAGGGAATGGAGACGATGGCTTGAAGCGATCGAGCATTCTCTACCGCGGCGTCGATCGGTAAGCCCGCAGGAGGATCCGCAAGGGCAAGATCGAAGCTATGGCCGCGGCCAGCGAGCCAGTGAGCCTGGCGGAGGTCCAGCAGGCGAGCAAGGATTTCCGCGTCCACGGGCTGAATCCTCCATCGCCAGCGCCATCGCCAGCGCAATCGGTGAAGCAACAATTCCCAGCGCCCGCGGTGACCCTAAGGGAAGTGGAGCTGGCCCTGGACGAGACTGGCGAGCAGCGCGAGGGGAGGATCCGGAATCTGTTCGCCCTCTTCGATTCCAGCGAATCGGGCTTCCTGGACCACGGCCAGATCGAGCAGCGCCTCAAGACCATGTCCATCCCCTCGCACTACAAGTTCGCGCAGGATCTCCTCCAGGTGTGCGATGCCAACCACGACGGGCGTGTGGATTTCCTCGAGTTTCGCCGCTACATCGACGAGAAGGAGCTGGAGCTCTACCATATGTTCCAGCAGATCGACGTGACCAACGATGGCTACATCCATCCGGAAGAGCTTCGCGACGCTCTTAAGAATGCAGGTAAGCGAAGAAAGAGTGAGTTCCTCCCAGGCTAGTGTTCTCACTCTTCTTTGTGCTTTGCTTGTCTGCGCAGGCATCCATCTTTCCGATCGAAACCTCTCCAAGTTCATGGATCACGTGGACCGTGACAACAACGGGATCATCACTTTCGAGGAGTGGAGGGATTTCTTGCTGCTCTCTCCTCACGCCGGGACGATCACGGAAGTTTATCAGTACTGGGAGAAGGTCTGCCAGATTGATATCGGAGAACAGGCCATCATCCCGGAAGGGATCAGCCGACACTTATACGCTTCCAGGTACTTCATCGCGGGCGGAGTTGCGGGAGCAGTGTCCCGGACCGCCACCGCTCCGCTCGACCGGCTCAAAGTTATCCTCCAGGTCCAGACCGAGAGACGAGCTAGGCCCAATCTCTTCCAGGGCCTCAAGCAGATATACACCGAGGGTGGCATGGCTGGATTCTACGTTGGAAACGGAATCAACGTTCTCAAGGTCGCTCCAGAGAGCGCTGTCAAGTTCTACGCGTTTGAGATGCTCAAAGAGGTGGCCGCCAAGATCCAGGGGGAGCAAAAGTCCGAGATTGGTCCTCTCGGGAGGCTCTTTGCGGGTGGAGCCGCGGGTGCGATTGCTCAAACGGTGGTTTATCCCCTGGACGTGGTGAAGACGAGGCTGCAAGTTTTGTCCCGGAAGTCTCAGATGAGCAGCCTCGTCCGGGACATGTACGCTCACGAGGGGTTCTTGTCGTTCTACCGGGGTCTCGTGCCGTCGCTGGTTGGGATCATCCCTTACGCGGGGATCGACTTGGCGATGTATGAGACGCTCAAGGACTTGTCGAGATCGATACTCCCGGAAGGAACTGGTAAGCTAGAGAGCACAAGTATGACATGCTTTCCTCGTTTCGTTTCTTACTGAGCTTCAGCGTTTCAGAGCCGGGTCCATTGACGCAACTCGCGTGTGGAACAATCTCCGGAGCGATCGGAGCGACTTCAGTGTATCCTTTGCAGCTCATCCGCACAAGGCAAGCAATCAATACGCTCTCACTTTTGAGAAACTTTCTTCCTCTTTTTTGTGTAGATTACAGGCCCAGCCTTTGAACTCTCCCATGCGGTACAAAGGCATGAAAGACGTATTTAAGAGAACGCTCGAGCACGAAGGTGTGACAGCCTTCTACAAAGGCCTCGTCCCAAACCTGTGCAAGGTCGCTCCGGCCGCGAGCATCACTTACGTGGTCTACGAGAAAATGAAAAAGCTGCTGGCTATACAAAGCTAGAAAAGCAAGCAAGATGATAACGACGACGAACGAACAACGAAGAACAACGAAGATCACACCACGCCAGAAAGAGCGAAAAAAAAAAAGAGGAGAGAAAAACTCACCATTCCATCACCCATCTCCGCAAATAATCGATCGATTCGATTTGTACGTGAAGAACACCGCCCCTACGGAAAGAAGCGATCCCTCGAAAGTCGCGATTTTGTAACGAAGGAAAAAAAAAATTTAGACAGAACAAAAAAGGCAAAAAAAAAAAAGATTGAGTAGCGCTCACTCTCTCTCCTCGCTGGCATACACGTCACGCGCCACGTCCGCGCGGAAGCGGATGTCGGGCGAATCCCTCCTAGATTCGGCTTACCCGCTAATCGTGGGGGCGCTTAGCCCTAATCGGGTGTGGGATTAAGCTGATAAACAAGGCTTGCGTGTAGAGAGTGGTGGCCCCTTGTCCACTGTGGTGAATTCTCTGACTGACACAAGCAAGCCAAGCGCTCTCGCTCTCCGCTCAGATCTTTCGTGGCATCTTCTCCTCGCCTTGTTTATCCAGCTGCTGGGCGCTCGATCCGCGCCTAGATGCCGTCCAGGGGCTCCTGCGGCGCCAGACGACGACGGCGACGGAGATTTTGGGGGGATCTCTTCGATTCTTCTTCTTCTTCCTCCGCGAATCGCCGCCAAGAAGCGCAAGAAGGCGTGAATCGAGGCGGATTGTAGCGGCGCCGCGGCGTGGATCCGCCGCTGCGCATTCCAGTTCCAGAGGTAGGGCGGTGGTGGCTTGGCTTGAAATTCGCATGATTTCCTGGGCATAGTTCTTGTCCCTGGATCTTTTGCAAGCAAATTGGGGGCTGGGACCAGAATTTTAGACTTTTCTTTCTCTCACGTTCTTCCTTGCTTTTCTTTTTCCCTTTCTTTTTTCTTGGCAGGAAGATTTGGCTGCTCTAGCCATGGATGAAATTGAGCTTCTGCGAGAGACGATGCTTCGCCAGGAGCTAGTCTTCACACAGCAGGTACATTGATTCTCCAATTTTATTTTTTTTTCCGCTTTCTTTACCTTTCTTGAGCGATTCTTTTCCTCTTTTTCTTTGGTTGAATGTTCTTGATAGGTGCGTGAATTGCATCGGCTGTACCAGAGGCAGAAAATTCTCATGACGGACATGGGAGTGATAAATCCTTCTCGGGATCAGCGATGCGGTACAAGGGATCTCCTCCACAGCCTAGAGGAGGATCGCATTGATAGCAGCGGTTTTAGTAGGCGAGCAAAGAGGCAAAAGACGTTTGACTTGGAGCAAATTCCTGACGACAATGACGAGGAGACCGAATACGTGTTCGATACGTCCTCTCGAGCGAGGAACTCTCTTCCAGCTGATCCCACGATGAACTTCTTGGGGAAATCTGGAAGGGACTCGAGTCATATAAACTTGCGGGAAATTAAGCTGGAGGACCAGCAGCCATCCAGGCCTTTGCAAGAGATGGCGTTGTTTCCAACTCTTCCCCGCGGCAGGGAAGTTTCGGATGATCGTCAATGGGCCTCTTTCCCGGCAGCAAAGAATGGACTGGAGTGGCAGCACCAAAACCAGCCGTGGATCAGCCAGGTATCTGTTTGCGTTCCGTATCTTTGTCTGTATGTCTGTATATTAATCAAGTCTAGCCAATGCAGAATCTTGGAAGAACAGCGCAAGTCGGTGATCCATGGAACGTTTTTCAGATTACAGGTAGAATCCTCTCTCTCTCTCTCTCTCTCTCCTCTCGTGTTTTTTGGCCTAAGTTTTTTCCGTCGTTTCTTGTCCAGGCCAAAGCTATCAAGCAGAAAACTATGGCTACAACACTTTCGCGGCCATTCCTGAGATGATGATTATGGCGTCCAAAAGCTACGCGAATGGAAACGCTGGCGTAGAAAAGAGCTTTGCACCGTCATGGCAGCCTTACTCGTACATCACGCAAGAAATCCTCAAGAACAACACATTCATCGGCCACAATCAGAGCAACCTTTCCTCCAGAACCTCGTGGTTTTCTTCCGCCAACAACATTCCCAGCAAGCCGCTGCCTCCTCTCGTCGAGAACAATCTACCTCTAAAGCCCGATACGGCCACTATTGTAAGCAACATCACTCACGCCGTCGACAGCGAGAAATCTTTGAGTAGAAGAAAAACCAGCAGCGAAGTTGGCGAGGAAGTGAAGATTGACAGCAAGGTTACTGAGAAAAACAGAGTATTAGGAGCTGGGACTTCGTGCACAGAGGATTTGGCTAGAAACCTCGAGCTCCAGGATGCTTCGACAACTAATTCAGTAGTGATCAACTCGGTGGCAAAGGAGGGACTTAGCAAGGTAGGATTAAGCAAGGCTAGGACGATGTCAATGGAGGATTCTTTGGACCTTGTGACTATCAGCGACACCATAACTTGGGCAGCGACAATTCTACTCAGCTTTTCTCCTCGTTGCTCCACCACGACAGTCAAGCTGTGCAAGAACCGCGACGTCGAGGGTGCAAGCAAGCCTGGAGTGTCCGACTTGAAGCTTTTCAAGTCGGTGGTGACGATGCTCAAGCAGCAGAGCGGTGGGAAGCTGATGAAGTCGGGCAGGAAGTTCGTTGTCAGCGACGACGATCAGTCTCCGAGCAAAGGCAAGACGATCGCGGCACTGTTCCAGCGGACCCTGTCGAGTGCAACGAAAGAAAAGGATCACCAGCACTACAAGAAGCGGAGGCGAAAGAAGAAGATCGAGGTGGTGGCGGCAGAAGAAGTCGAAGAAGAACAGAGCGAAGAAGAAGACGAGGAAGAAGAAGAAGAGGTGATGTGCTCCCGGACGCGCAGGAGCAGCTTGCGCGAGTCGGTGCATTCAAACGGGAGTGCCGTTGAGACGATGACAAGAACGACAGCAGCGACGCCGCCGCCGCCAAGGAAATCGAGGAGTTTGTCTCAGAGTACTAGCAGCAGCGCCGCCGCCGCGGCTCAAACGCATCACACTTGGTTATGGGGCGACGTAACTCGGCGCAAGCGAATGCAACGGCCGCGGCACCAGC